ATTCGTTTTGGCATCGTTTTTGACGAATTTTCAAACACACTTTTTGGACTGGTGTAAAACAGCGTGTGACCCGATTTATCCAACAAATTGTTAATCAACTTGGAAAATAAATGGAGAGTTGGATTTAAGGCCATTTAATGGAGGAAGCACTGCTCTATAAGTGCAAAAAGTTCCAAATTTGCCTCATTTTTCGTTATTTTTTGGCCAATTTTCAAACACATAACTTGTTTTCGACTGCTATAAAACAACTAGTGRAGTGTCCCGAGTTATTCAACAAATTGTCAGTCAACATGGAAATAAAATTGAATGTTGYCATTAGGGCCCTTTAATAGAGAAACCCGTGCTCTATAARTATGAAAATTTGTAAACTTGCTTAATTTTCCGTTATTTTTTGTCGGATTTTCAAACATATGGGACATAAATGAAGAGTTGGCATTAAATAGTCRTACGTAATTGGCAGAAGAATCAGTTCTTAATTAGATCAGWTCTTTTGCAAATGAAAATCGATAAAACCACACAATTACCTAAAGCAAACTAACTTGAAAATTGGTAAAAAATGTGAAAATTAAACAGTGAAGAGTAATAAGAACAAAATCAATCTATGGCACAATAAACAGAAAGCAGTGACTGGAAACATTAAAATCGCGTTCTCACTGTTTTCCCTAGTTGGACACAGATGGAAACTTTGCATTGTATGGAAGGAATGTCTAAAGCAATTAATTACAGCAAACCCCTGATGCCATTTAAGAAGTGGAATGCTGTTTAAATAAGGGCGCTACTCAAATTGGCATACGTGCATTTTAGGGGCTTTTTATGACCTGGCGCGGGTCGTAAAAATTTACGGTCTGGTAAATAATTACTGTGCAACAATCAAAGAAGCTTATCGCCCAATCAGAAAAGTTACTTTGTACCAACCAAGCACGAGAATTGTACGTGGTAAAGTACGACCAAATCGCCAATTTTGCTACGATAAGTCGACGTTAAAACCACGGCAATGTTTCACAGAAAAACAACCTACACGAATGGCGCAAAACATTCAAAATATCCCTTGAAGTGAAGAAACAACAGAAAATCGCTGAAGGTTTAACAGAGAAGAACACGGCAAGATAAAAAATGCAGAATTTGGATCAAATTTTCCGCAAACAGACTAGGTATGGATGATTGTGTTGCCGAATTGCTGGCTACATTTTGGTCGAAATGTGGCATCAGCAGTGGCATTTTCTAGGATGAAATAGTCAAAAAACCACGCCAATAAAACTCACGTCTTTTTGACGCCTCCTGCGAACGAAAGTTTTACATCTCTTGAATCCTTCCATAGATCAAGGCTTATATAGAAACGACTTTTACTCTTGTAGAAAGTGTCGCTAAAGTGGCGCGCCCTGGTGGCTGAGAATTAAATAATTCAAACAAACCTCCATTATGAACCCACTACACTTGCTTATTTTTAATTGTGTCGCAAGGGGCAGCTGATAATAG